GGTTGTTGTACTGGCCTTGTCCTTCATTTGCCTACCCGTGCTTGTCTCTGCCTTCCTTCAGGATGAGCATTTCTGTGACTTCGTGGACATCCTCACAGAGTACCAGACCAAGAACATCTTGGCTTCCCCCATAATGAACGGGAAGGACGTGGTGGCCATAATCATGGCTGTGAATAAAGTGGAAGGACCCCACTTCACCAACAGAGATGAAGAGGTAAGAATGCTTTAGAAACTAAAGCTGGCCATGCCAGCACATTCTCCTAGCTCAGGGAGTCCCCTGAACCTCGTTGCTTGGCCTGGCCTCAGTTTCTCCATCTGTGAGACAGGGGATTGTTCTGATGCTCTCTGAGGGAGGCAGGACAAAATAAGGGTTACAATGTTGGGCTTTGAAATCAGAAATGGAGGGATCATTGTTTTGGCTCTGCCAATATCTAGCTGTTTGACTTGGGCAAGTTACTTAAGTTCTCTGAATCTCAGTTTTCTTATCTGTAAAATGGGGCTGATTTTTCAGTATCCACTTTATAGGGTACTTGTGATGATCATATAACATTAATAAATGACTTATCGCAGTCAAATTCAAGAAATAGTAGCTATTTTTCGTTAACCCACCTCTATCAACTTCGATATTCTACATTCTGTGTGTTTTATACTCGTTATGCAACATTTTATGAACCTGCATCCTATGATCTGCCTGCCCAAATTGCCTCTGATGAAGCTTTTAAAATATTCAGACATTTGCTGATACTAGAAGCAGCCAGAGGAGAGATTTTTCCTTCTCATCTGCTTCCCCTCATGCTGTCTGATTTTCAGATTCTTCTCAAGTACCTCAACTTTGCAAATCTCATCATGAAAGTGTACCACCTGAGTTACCTGCACAACTGCGAGACTCGACGCGGCCAGGTAAGGGGTGGGGCTCATGGGAGCAGACTGGACATGGCCTTCTTCTGATGCATTGATGCGGTCAGACAGCTTGGATTTGAATCCCTGCTCAGCCACGGACTAGCTCTAAGACCCCGAGCAAGTCACTAATCTCTCTATGCTTCGGTCTCTCCATTCGAAAAATGGGGATAATTACGGTGCCACCCTCGAAAGATTACCACGGTAATATGTGAGATAATGGACGTAGGGCACTGGTGCTCAATTAGTGTTCGATGTTATTTTTATTAACAAACTGTGAGATAAAAGAAACAGAAAGAGCTGGACTCAGTGGAAGCCAGCCAGTTACTTCACCTTTCTGAGCCTCAGTTTCTTCATCTATAAAATGGGGATAATTATCCTGTGTATTTCTCTGGGTTATTATGAGGGTTAAATGAAATAAACTCTAGAGAACTTTACAGAATCGTTACTATCTAGCTAAGTGAGCTGCTGCTTTGTGCCTCAAAACCTTTGACTATGTGTTTGTATTTCTTCAGATACTGCTGTGGTCTGGGAGCAAAGTCTTTGAAGAACTTACAGACATCGAGAGACAGTTCCACAAAGCCCTGTACACAGTCCGGGCCTTCCTCAACTGTGACAGATATTCTGTGGGTCTCTTAGACATGACCAAGCAGAAGGTGAGAAAACTTCAGGAACAGACTTTGTTTTTTTTGAGACAGAGTCTCGCTCTGTTGCCTGGGCTAGAGTGCCGTGGCTTCAGCCTAGCTCACAGCAACCTCAAACTCCTGGGCTCAAGTGATCCTACTGCCTCAGCCTCCCGAGTAGCTGGGACTACAGGTGCATGCCACCACACCCGGCTAATTTTTTCTATTTTTAGTAGAGATGGGGTCTCACTCTTGCTTAGGCTGGTCTCAAACTCCTGAGCTCAAGCTGTCCTCCCGTCTCAGCCTCCCAGAGTGCTGGGATCGTGGGCATCAGCCACTGCGCCCGGCCAGGAAGAGACATCTCTAAGAAAAGTTTAAATAGACACTGGATGGAGCCCAGAGTCTTGTCATGCATGTGGCTGCACAGGGAAGAGGCTGGGCGGACTGGTTGTGAACATTTTATGCAGGTCTTTACTGAAGAGAGTAGCATCGTCCTTTAAATGGAAAAAATCAATCTAGAGCACAGGCGAGTAAACACAACCCGTATTTTCCCTAGTTGATGGGGGAAATAAAAGCATTCGTGAGAAGCAGGCTGATGAGAAGATAAAGGTGAGAAAGTCCAGAGGAAAGTTACTAACTTCAGGAATTCTCAGAAAATGTACCGAAAGTTGGGTGTAAACCTTTGCTATGATTTATGTAGCCCAGGGCTCACCTAGGCGATTGAGCTGGAGGCAGATTCTGAGATCCCGTCCCTCAAATGCTCAAGGGCCAGATTTGGGGTCGATATGACAGCCAAGGAGGCAGAGTTCAGTGTGGCTCCCAGCGACAATTTTCAGCCATGTTTTCCCAAACCGACTCTCCCATTCCTCGTTCTTTATCTCTCTGCCTTGTGAGGCTGACCATTTTCTGCCTTGAAACAGGGTTTCAGAGCTAAGTTTAGCATCCCTTCTCTTGAAGACCCAAGGATTCTTTGTCAGTTTCATTTTGTATGCCTTGTCATGCTAGGCATGGTGCAAATATTGGATTGAATGAATAAACGAGTTGCAGCATCTGGTGTTGGAGAAGACCTTGGAATCTTAGGTCTAGTCCAGAGGCTTCCAAACTTGGCCGTTTGGAAGCGGCTTCTAAGCATGACTGTATCTCTTCCCACTCCGTGCCTTCATTCTCTTAATGGTGTGTTTTGACGAATGTAAGTTCTGAATTATAATGTAGTCCAATTTATCAATCTTTTCCTTTACGGTTATTGATTTTTGGGCCCTATTTAAGAAATCTTTCCTGGCTCCAAGTTTATAAAGATATTTATGTATGTCACACTCTAAAAGCTTTGTTGTTTTAACTTTTACATATAACTCTATAATCTACTTGGAATTTTTTTATGTATAGTATGAGGTAAGGTCAATATTAATTTTTCCATATGGATATCCAATTGACCCAGTACCGTATATTGAAAACACTAGGCTGCGTACAGTGGCTCATGCCTGTAATTCCAACACTTTGGGAGGAAGAGGCAGGAGGATCGCTTTTGGCCAGGAGTTCAAAGCCAGCCTGGGCAACATAGCAAACCCCATCCCCACCAAAAAAAAAAAAAAAAAGGAAACAAACAAAAAGTTCCATTCCAAGGTGCCCAATTTGCAGCAGGATTTGGTCCTAGGCTCAGGCCACTCTATGCTGTAGCATTCTGCTGTTTCTTTTAAACTGCCAGAACAGTGGTACGCACCTATAGTTCAAGCTACTCTGGAGGCTGAGGCAAGAGGATCGCTTGAGCCCAGGAGTTCGAATCCAGCCTGGAAAACAGCAAGACCTCGTCTCAAAAAAAAAAAAAGAGAGATACTATTCTGATTCAGTCATACCTAAAAGATGGAACAATTTAGTTATGAATTTAGCTATTAGAAGTGGGCTAGGCTACCTGCATTCACTCTAAGAACCTGCCTCTCAGATAGTTAAGCTTTTACCTGAGCTATTGACATTATGAAAAAAGTCATTCAAGCCATTGAATTGTACACTTTAAATAGATGAATTATTGTATGGTACATGAATTAAATCACAATTAAGCTGTTAAGAAAGAAAGGAAGGGCCGGGTGCAGTGGCTCACGTCTGTAATCCTAGCACTTTGGGAGGCCAAAGCGAGAGGATTGCTTGAGGTCAGGATTTTGAGAGACCCTGTTTCAAAAAAAAAAGGAAAAGAAAGGAAGGAAGGAGGGAGGGAGGGAGGGAGGGCAGGAGGGAAAGAGAGAGAAGTTGTAGATATGTCCAGCTCTCCACCCAATCCCTTGTTTGACAACTTCTAGTCTCCTTGGGACAATCTTCAGATCCACTCAGTGCTTGGCTACATGAGGTGTCAGCTCAAAATACGTGTTCTTCTTCTGGGCTCCTCTAGTATTTCCTTCCACTAATTTTTTTGGTTCTTGCCCCATGTACCTTGCTTTAATTACCTGAGTACTTGATTGTCTCCTTCGTGGGACAGTAAGATCTTCCAGGGCATGAGCTGAGCCTTACTCATCTCTGTATGTCTAGCAGCAGGTTGCGGTGTTCAGGTAGGGCCCAGTTGTATTTCACCTACAATTGAATTTCTTCATGTTGTCAGTAGTCCACCGAGACAAACATGTTCAAACAAGAGAGGAACAAGGCAGGGGTGGCTCCTACCCACAATATCCCAGTGCTAACAGATCACTGTTTGTCCCTAAATAGTAACAGATGAATGAACAGAGAGGGCACTGGAGCACGGAGGCCTTCCAGAAAAAGAGCCCAACTGGGCAGAAGCGCAAAGACATGGCATTTACATTTCATGTGGACTCCCTTCTGCTTCTTCTCTGGATGTTATTAGAATAAGCAAACCACCAAGACAAACATGTTCAAACAAGAGAGGAACAAGGCAGGGGGTGGCTCCTACCCACAATATCCCAGTGCTAACAGATCACTGTTTGTCCCTAAATAGTAACAGACGAATGAACAGAGAGGGCACTGGAGCATGGAGGCCTTCCATGCCAGGCCCAGACTTGGCCCAACACGAGATTTGCTGCTCCACGTGTAAAGGAAACCAGAGGAGAAGTAGCAGAGAAGAGCCCATGTGGTGTCCCAGTTGGCTTCTCCTGAAGCTGGACGACTGTGCACGTCCTTTTCTGGATCTTTTTCTCTTCTCTCTGACTGAATCTCAGCCATGTTAAAGAAAAACTTTAGACAAAATAAATTTAACAGAGTTCATTAGAGCAAAGAACGATTCATGAATCGGGCAGCATTCAGGACCAGAAAGGTTCGAAGAGCTCCACTCCATATCATAGATTCCTAAATTAGGTTTTGGTTTGTTTCTGTACTAAGTCAGGTTGCAGTTTGTTATGTAGGAACTCAAATTATTACACAGGGATTCCAAGTACAGTGATAGTCTCAGGCTAATGTTTTCTACTTATCTTAGAGCTGTCAATCTTTCTTTTTGGATCCCAGATATGGGTCTCTCTGTCCATATTTAGTATCATTATATCTTTTTTCTTTCTTATTTGGGAATTTGTTTTTCCTAATTACAAAACCAGTAAAGTTTATTATGGAAAAATTTCTAAATACATTACAGTCTCATTCCAATCACCCAGATAAAACTATTTTTAATGCTTTGTTGGGAACGTGTTCACAGCATTTTCTGTATATAATTAAACATCAGGGTCATGGGATATATTATTTTGGTCCCCCACATTTTTCACTCACTAGTATATCACAGACATCTTTTCAATCCTTACACACACATCTGTAGCATCATTTTATTATATGTGCCATAATTGATTTAATAAGTCCCCTTTTATTGAACACTTAAATTATTTCTAATTTTTCATTATGACACATGATACTGCAAGGGACATTATTTTAGCCAAACCTTTGATCTCATGCTTAGCATGTTCTTAAGGTAAATTTCTTAGCCATGGAGCCCCGTTCTACCCTCTCATGTCCCACAACACTAAGGGTGCCCCAGCCCCTCTCCCATGTTTTTGGCAAATGACTAGACAGACCCAGCTCGTCAATATTTTGAAGGGTAGATGTGATTATCCTCTAAGTCTAGTGAGTCTCACATCCTTTCCAAACTTAGGTTTCACGGAGCTCTTCCCACCTTCCAAATTTCAGCAATAGATGACTCATACAGGTGGGACTTCTTTTCTTAATCTACCTTCAAAACATGTAATTATTGTTATTTTCACTCCTAGGAATTTTTTGATGTGTGGCCAGTTCTGATGGGTGAGGCTCCACCATACTCTGGTCCCAGGACTCCGGATGGAAGGGTAGGTCTCTCTCCAGCCTTTATTAAATTATCAAATGTTTAATGAATTCAAATACAAGACATGGTAGACCCTGCCAAAGGACATTTCCTTATCACATAGGTATTTATGTTCTCTGGGTTGGGTTGTCTCCCTTGAAGTTAGGGTGATGATTCAAAATTGCCAAGCCCTATCATTTGCAAAGTGAGATTTCTTTCTCTTTCTTTCTTTCTTTCTTTTTTTTACTAACCACTATAGCAAAGTGTGAAGTTTCATGGTAACCTGGTGGGGTATTCAAAGCAGGAATCAACATCCTCATTCTACAGATGAGGAAAGAGCCCCAGAGAGGTCAAGCAACTTGCTCAAGGATTTGACTAGCAGGGACGCAGAATTGCAGACACGATGAGCGGGAAAGAACTTTCATATCTAGTCTATAATGTACAAATCAGTAGCCAGAAGGCCAATTCCAGCTGATAGATACACATGTTTGACTGCATAGGTTTTTGCTTTTTTCTTTTTCGTTTGTACTTTAATATTTTCTGAATCGGTGGCTAACACTTAAAAGTCAAGATATTTCCCATAAATAACTGAACTCCCAGTTTCTTTTGAAAAACTGAATGATTAGTAAAAACTGGACCATCAAACCAGGAGAGTAAATTTGACTGGAGCTGAGAACAGCTGCGTCCTTGGAGCATGGCCCGAGCTCTCTAGTTCGCATTGGGGTTTCTGCCATCTGGTCTCACCCAGTTGCCTCCCTTTAAAGATGCGGCATCATCACCTTTGAGATGCTGAAGTGGTACGCGTGGGGGTGTGGACACCAGGCAGGGTAACAGACCTGGAACTCAGAGGGCCTGCAGAAGCTGCAGAATGAAGGAGAGATCCCGGCTGAGGCCTCGCAGAACAAGTCAGCAGCAGGGTCATGCCCCGAAGTGAGTTTTAATCCAGTGCTCTTCCCATAAGACTTTGCGGTCTGTGTGAAATCGTATTCGCTTTCTCCTAGGAGGCCAGATTCCACCCAGCCAACTTTAACCCTGCCCAAAATAAAGGGCCTAGAGTGGATGTGTGTGTGTGAGAATAAGAGTTTAATTAGAGTTGATTCAAACTCTTTTCAAAATGAACACCTTTGCCTGTGAGTTTCATGTACATTCCAGAAGAAATGTCAACCTTGGAATCTATTTTGTCTGCTGTGCTTTATCCAAAATGACCCTTGTAACTTGCTGCCGTCCAATTTCAAATTACTCTTTTGCCCGTACAATTTCATGATTTCATTTCAGAAGACTGCATCTTTAAGGATTCTATCATGTGCTGCTGTCATAAACTCTATTTGGGGACACTTTCATTTTTTAAGTACTGCTCTTTCACGTTGGCACAGTTGACGTGTGGCCATTGCACCTTTTCTCCAGTTCACATACAAGCTGAACTTGTATCTTCTGGAAAGTTAGAAGTTGGAGAATTAGAATAGAGATCGTCACAGTTTTCAGACACCACCAACTTCAATTAACTCCAAGTTTTTTGGAGTTGAGCTCTGAGCTGAGCCCTTAGGTCAGAGGTCAGAGGTCATTTCCAACGCCAGGACAGCTAGAGAAATGTCAGGCTCTAACTCTGGCTCTTCACCCTGAAGTGCCCCAAACTTCAAGACTGAAGTGAACACGACATTTTCTCACTAAGCATCAGCCCAGGAAGAGCTGCCCATCATTCAGCCAATTCAAGAAGTTTTGGTTTCACGGAGGTGACTAGCACAACCATGGTTAAGACTATTCTTTCTTAAAACCCTTCCTCATTTCAGATAGAAGTCCCCAGTTCTGCACGAGTATGAGGCATTAGGTTGTGACAGAAACGGCCATGGTCCAGAAGAAAAAGGACTTTGGTTTTGATTAGCTGCTAACCAGTAGGGTGAGCTTGGTTTAATAACTCCTTGGGTTCTTGATTTTCTTATCTATGAGCTGTTGTCAGTGAACTCATCACCAAAGTCAGTTCCAGGTCTAGGACACAGCCAGGAGGAAAACCTGCATAGGCCTGAGTTGGGGCCCAGATACAGCATAAAAAGACTGACCAGAGGTAGATCTTCTGGAAAGAGCATGGGATTGGAGGGAGAAAGCCCAAGTTCTGATCCCTGCTCCACCAGCTAGTTGTGTGGCCTTGAGAAACCTCCTTAAGCCTCACCTTCCTCATTTGCAATGCTGGGGCAATCCAGCTCACCTAGCAGGGCTGTGGTCAGTAGAGCGAGTCACACACTGGCACACGGTAGATATCCAACATATAACCACAGCTACCTGCGGTGAGCCTGGCTACCTGCTGGGCACTCTATCCGGATTACATTATTTAGTCTCCTCAACACATTTAAGAAGGAGGTATCCTCATTTTACCCATTAGATGGTTGAAGAAACTGAGATTTGGAGAGGTCAAACCATTTGCACAAATGCAACCCAGGATGCTTCTCTCTTTGGTAACTGCGATTAAAATCATCCCTTTTAATGTTCCCTCTGCCTTCTATAACATCACTCTCACACTTTATCTGCCGCATTAGCATGAGAAGTACAGCTTTTATCTGGATTCCAACCGATTAACTTTCCCAAATCTTAGGTCGAAACCTCCCCAATCGTAGCTACATCTCACTTCATCTCCTTTTAAAAATAAAATGTATATGTGTTTTAACTATTTGAAAGGCCATGAGGCTTCATGGAAAAAACAAACAAAAAGAAATAGCACTCATTTAAAAAGTGGTATATTTCCATGGGCCGTGATTTGGCTATGGCTGTATTTGTGGCTCTTTCAAAGCCCCTTGTGTTCTACTGGTAGCTGCTCTAATGGATGGTAACAAAGGTGCTCTTGATGGTTGAGTTTTGACTTTCCAGAGGCTGGTGACTTTGCACATTTGTGCATTTGTACATGAGTACAGCCTTTTTTTTTTTTTTTTTTTGAGACAAAGTGTCACTCTGTCACCCTGGGTAGAGTGCAGTGGCATCATCATAGCTCACTGCAACCTCAAACTCCTGGGCTCAGGCAATCCTCCTGCCTCAGCCTTCCAGAGTGCCAGGATTGCAGGCATGAGCCACCCCGCCCGGCCCATGAATATAGCCCTGCAGGCAATTTGACTGAGCCACAGTGTGTGGAAAAAACCCTAGCTACCTAAAGCACACTGATCTTTTTGTTACTTTTTGTGAAAGCAAATTGATGTTCCTGCGGGATTCAAATGGATAACAAACATCCATTTCTAACCTTTCTAAAGTCTTGTGGGCACCCCTGGGTAGGGCGGCTGCCAAGCCCTGGAAGCCTGGAGCTTGCCTGGGAGTGCGGTGAGCAGCACAGGCCCGAGGACTAAGGCAAAGATACAAAGATGTTGGGAAGGTCCTGGAATTCTGCCCCCTCCCCCTCCAGGTGGAAACTTAGCTTTACCAAAGTCCCAGCAGATAACGTGGCCACCTTTGTTTTTTATAACTGCTTACAGGGTACAACTTCACAATTTAAAAATGTTTTTAAGGCCGGACACGGTGGCTCAGAAAACTTATTACTTGAAGCTGCATTTGCTGGGAAAAAAAGAAAAAGAAAATTTGTTGATATTTATTGAAAAAGGAATACGTGAGCACAGTGAAAAGCTTGCTCCATACAAACTCAAGCCTCTGTTCCCCCTGGTCAGCCTCCCCGAGGCAGCCACTGTTAGCAATCAGCTTTTCCAGAAACGTCTACAGATATTCAGATATTCAGAGATGTATGCATATTCCACCACCACCCTCCATGAATATGGTGGTTCTATTTTGTGCCTTGTTTTTCCCACTTCACTGTGTGTCTTGGCAACTTTCCCTATCAGCAAGGACACAGCAATCTCACTCTGGAAACGCTCTCCTAATGATAGACAGTAAATTGTCTCCAGGCTTTTTGAGGCTGTCTGGCTGAGACCCCTGGACGGTTTTACCCACATTTAGGAGTATATCTCTAGGATCCATTACTACATGTGGGTCAAAGAATATGTATATTTTAATCTTGGAGAGATACTGCTAACTGTCTAATCACAATCTTAGAATCATAGCTGGGAGTTTTTTCCCTCTCCCATTGTCCTTAGAACCCTAGAGTTCCACAGGAGCTGCCTCCGCCAGAGGTTAGTGGGGAGTAGGAGGACAGGAAGGGGAGTAAGAACAAAGAGAGCTGCAGGGTCTCTACTTACCCAACGCTGACTCCGCTAGGACAGTTTTATGTGAGTAGTTCCCATGCTTTGTTTGTGGAAAGCGATCTGCTACTTGACAGCAGCCACAAACGCATACCGCTGGTCTAATTTTACAACCGGGGAAACTGAGGCCCAGAGAGCACACAGTAGAACCAAGACTAGAACGCGTGTTCACTCTAGGTCTAGTGTTAGCACCATTTCATTCATCGTGCTGTGGGCTTCATCTAATCTCCTGTTGGATGCTCCCTATTTTGGGGAGCTCACTATACCTGGGGCAGTCTGTGCCACTGGCGCAGTCCTGGCTTCCGCCTTTTGTTTAGCCAGAGCTTCAGTCACTGCAGCTGCTGCCAATGCTGGGCTCCGATCACCTGTCAACCAAACCGCTTGCAGACACCCTTAACTGGATCAGAAATTCCTCTTTGTGGAGGTTCTGAGTCTGGAGGCTTGGGGTGGAGCCAAGATATCTACATTTAAACCTCTAGGGCAGGGCCAGGTGCAGTAGCACTCACCTGTAATCCCAGTTACTGGAGGCCGAGGTGGGAGGATCACTTGAGGCCAGGAGTCCAAGGCCAGCTCAGGCAAATAGCAAAAAAAAAAAGTTAATTAAAAAATCTCTAGGGAGGTACGTCTAAAAATACCTGTAGTAAAAGAATGGTTTGTTTGTTTAATTTTCCAATCCATTTTGACTGATACTTTTCAAAATATGATAAAGATATATTCCTAGAAAAATAAAATTTTATAAAGACAAAATATAAGCCCCTCCCACTTTTAAATTGGACTCAACCCAGACCTAACCTCAGTGAAATTGTTATAAAAATTGCTAAAGGCTGACTCTCCGTTTGTTTTTATCTCATCGTGAAATGATAACAAGTTTGCAGGCTGGCACCAGTCCAGGGATCACACTTCCAGTGACCCTGTTCTAGGTGATAGTGATAAGACAATAAAACACTATTTTAAGCTATCGAGCTTAAGCGACATAGCAGAAAGAGCACAGAGCACTGAGCTGGGAGCTAAGGACCTAGGTTCTGATTCCAGCTCACTGTCTTGCTATAAATAAGCCCTTTCCTCTCTGCATCTGTTTCCCACTTGTGAAATACTTGCTAATCACACTTGGGCATATAGAGGACCTAAGGGTAAGGTAATGGAATTTTCCTGGACAGTTAGGAATGAAGCCACCTGCCAATATCCAACTGCATGCTAGGGAGTAAAGTAATTGGAGAGATATACTTTAAGAGAATGGTAGTTTTAATGATGCAAGGAGGGGCGAGGGATGGAAGAGGTGGAAAGTTAGTTTGGAGGCATGAGGCGCAATTGAGAAGGTAGGTCTCAAGCAATGACATAGCGAAGAGAGCAGCTGAGTGTTATGCATGCAGAAGGGGGCTGTGACCATGTGGGGTGCGTGCGCCCTCCATGGGGTTGGCTGCTTTGACTATGACTCTAAATGGGACGGGAGCATCCTTTCCACCTCCCTCCTCCCTAGACTCTAGCAGCAATCTTCATCTCTTCTTTCTTGCACTTGTCAAAGTCAACATAAAAAGGTAGTGATGACTCTCTAAATTTAACATTTTACTCAGGAGGAAAAATTGCAATTTGTGGTATACACGCAAACTGGGTAGTCTTCAGTATGTCCAAAGAACAAAGAGAAGGCTGGAGTTTTATTAAAAGAGAAATGTTGTGTATTGCCCCCTTGAGAAAGTTCATTGGCACTAGCAGAGTTCTGGCAAGCTGGCAAGTTTTGATTGAGTAATGGCAGGAGGTAAAACTAGTCTTAGAGTTGCAGTGGTCGTTTCGGCAACTATTAGATAAAACAGGTTTCAGGTTACAGCAGGCAGTTTCAGCATCCAGGCTTGCAGAGAATTACATTCTTAGAGCAATGTTATGTATCTTGAGTGCTTTTTTCCCTCCGGCTTCTCAACTTTAGTTGGGTATGACAAGAGTGACCCAGTTTGTATGATCACACACTCAACCTCCAGATCCCCTTTGAAAGCTTTCCATCCCTCTTCCCAGCCCCAGATCCCAGGCCCCTGCCTGGCCACTGTGAGCTGACTCCAGGAAGGCACACTGAATCCTAAAAGTCAGCCGAGGGCTGGGAGGATGGGAAGGCAGTCCAGGCATGCCCTTAGAAGGAATTATAGTCAGGCTTTCTGCTTCCTGAAAACCATGGGACAAAATATGCACAATTATTATATTATGTTACTGAAAGTTGGGCACTTGTCCCCGAGATCGTATCAGAGGAACAAGGACAAGTAGTTTGAGGAGAAGGAAAGAGAAGTTTATTAATTTGGCAGCAAATGAGGAGGTTGACAGACTCCAGTCTTAAAGTACCAACATCCTGCCTCTGAGCATCCTGCCTCTGAGCAAAAATACAGAGCTTTTAAAGGGAAGGTTCAACTATAGTTGATGGTTCTGATTCATCCCATCTTTGGCTAAGACAATTTCGTGACGTCTCACCTGGACAATTCCCTTGAGCAATCTCCTGTGGCACAAAGAACAAAGGACACTCTCCTGCCGACCAATGGCCTATGCCAGGGATGTAGGCTTTATTTCTCAAAAAGCGTGAGAGGGGTTTCGAAGAGACAGAAAACATTTTTACCCTTTTTTAGGCCATTCTCTCTGTTACAATTATATATCAATAACAAAATAAATAAATTAAAACAACAACAAAAACCACAGGACATGCGACGGCAAAGAACGAGTTCAGTTTCAGGGACACACTGTTGTTGAACTTCTATCTGACTCTTAAGGTATAATATTTTTTATCTCTTTTGCCAGGAAATTAACTTTTACAAGGTCATTGACTACATCCTGCATGGCAAAGAAGACATCAAAGTCATTCCGTAAGTTTCATCTGTCAAAAGGCAAAATAACAACAAATTTAGTTTAAAGATCTCAATTGGCTTTATTTGCGATTCTAAAATTGGGCAACACTTCATTCCATAAAATAGAATAAGTGTCCCATAAGCTGAGCAGAAGAGGCTGGCTTTATAGACAGGGAAGGGCCGAAGATAGTAGAAACAAAGAACAAAGAGCATTAGTCACTTCAAAGTTATTTTTCTTGCAAGGTAGGGACGAGGAGACAGAATAGAAAAATAAGCAACTGATTAATTAACATCAGGTTAATTCAAGCTACCTTTTTTTTTTTTGGTATAAGGATTAAAGCAGAGGGGACTTCATTCAGTATAATGCTATTTGAAGATTGAAATTGGCCTGGTTGGGAATCTGGCTTTTATCTCTCTCTCCTGATCTCTCAGAAGGTCAGATAAGTTAGCTTAGTTTTGGCCCGGTAGAACTTTAACATGGGTGGCTCCATTTTGATTTTTAGCCTGGTCTGTTAGGATCTGGTGCAGGAGCTTAGCCCAAAACAATGGCCTCCCATAATTTTTATTTAACACATCTCAGAGCATAAAAAATTTCAGGTACATCGTCAACATCTAAAAGACACTCATCCCAAGGTCAACGCTAACCAAACCCAACAAGGCCACGCACTTGGTTAGAGGCAGAGAGAGCGGTAAGGAGGCCACGTGGAATGGTGGAGAGACTTGCACGGGGTGGGCAATGAGGCCCCAGGAGGGGGAGAGATGTGATCAAAGCCACAGCGTGCCAGATTGTGAGTCAGGTGCTCTGAGTTCCAGCCCCAGGTCCAGTGGCCTGTCTAGGCCTCAGTTTCCCATGTGCAGAATGAGATCAAATCAGGGCTGTTCGACTGTTGTCTGTGGAGCTACTTCTGGGATCCATGGGGGGCAAAGCACAAACAAAGAAAGTGGCAAAGAAAGTGGCTCAGTCCCCAAGGAAAGCCTATTGTCTGAGGTCCACTTCATCTGTGACCAAGGAGGATAATGAAAAAGAAAGACCACTCTCAGTCCTGCCTGTGGGTAGCTGGGACTGAAAGATCATTTTAAGATTTGAACCGCTGCAGACATTTTTAATATAGGCTTGTACGTTTTTCGTTAATAGAGTATTCTTAAAAATCTAGTTGCCTTTGTATCTGTCTGAATCCTCTCCACGTGCTGAGAGCCACACCCGTGGTTCTGTTTTGAGACGCAGCTCCGTGCCCTGCTTAATTGCAGGCTCCTGGAGGCTGCGGTCAGCTTCTGTGGGAGAGCCGCACCTTCGTCTCGTCTCCCTGAGCGATTTTGTGGATCCGAGGGATTTACTGTACTGCCGCCTTAATCCTCAAACAGAGCATGTGATAGGCCATGCCAATCCAACCCTGACCGCCAAACCAAACTGTAATAATCCCCTTTCACTCAGGTAAACAAGTTCTCGGGTTCATCTGTCACCCGTGAGCATGAAAAGTTGCCTCAAGTCCCTGAATTTCTGGGTTCTCTGTATTCCTTTTCCTTCCTGCTAGCCCAAGGACTGATTCTCTGAATCTTTTCTAAGCTCATCTCTCCTTTTTTTGGTAACCTTGTCAAATGCATACTTGTCAACCATTCTGTTTTTTAACTCCTTTTCTAGAGCTACAAGTTTATTAAACTCATTATCTGTCTTTTAAATGATCACAGGTCATTGTTTCTCCCGATGTTTTATCATTGCTTGACAAGCATAACATCCTACTAACCTCTGGTGACACCCCCCTTGCTGCCTTCTACTCAGTGCCTAACCTAGATTACCTATTTTGGGCTTTGTGTTATGCCAGCATCCCATTTCTGATTCAAATTTTCTTTTTATCAGCCAGGGTAGGATAGGCTATCCTGCAAAGACTTTAGTGGTGTAAACAACAAAGTTTTATTTTACCATCCACTATGTGTGCATTGCCAGCTGATGCGTGTGGTTGGGGGATAATGTGGGAATTGTCCTCAGTCACAGACCAAGGCTGATAGAGCAGCCACCATTTTGAACTCTGTAAGATTGACTAATCTTGCCAGTGAGAAGAGAAAACATAGCAAAACACACACTGGCTCTTAAAATGTCCGTCTGGAGGTAACATATACCACTTTTACTCACATTTTATTGGTCAAACCTAGTCACATGGCCACATTTTCTTTCAAGTGGATAGGGAATGTAACCCGCCCATGTGTCTGGAACAATGGACAGCCAGAATATTTGTAAACACCTCTAATGGCTGCCACAGTATACGTCATCCAAACTAACAGAGGAAAAAATTGAATAGTAAATAAATGATTAATCAAACCCAAAGAGGGCAAAATAAAAGTTTAGAAAGATCACAGAGACCAAGCATGGTGGTGTGCATCTGTGGTCCCAGCTGCTCTGGAGGCTAAGGTGGGAGGATTGCTTGAGCCCAAGAGTTTGAGGCCAGCCTGGGCAACATAGAGAGACCCCATCTCTCTCTCTTGAAAAAAAAAAAGAATATAGAGCAGGTAGGAAAAATAAAAAGTTTACATTAAGATGATATTTAAATCCAAATACATCAATAGTTTTAAAAAATATAAACCAACAAGATATTACAGTTAAATGACAAAGATTGCCACCCTGCATAAGAAAGAAATCTATCACCTTTCATTGATTCTAAGCACTGTTTTTTACTTTTTGACATTTCTGAAATAGAACTGTACAATTGTCAGCCATTGCATTCATGATGTAATTGTCATTGCCCACCTAATTGTGCACTTGGTCATAATCATTGTCAAAAGACAAAATTACAACAAATTTAAAGATCTCAATTGGCTTTATTTGCAATTCTAGATTTGGGCAACACTTCATTGCATAAAATAAAATAAGTAACGAGTTGAGCAGAGGGGATTGGTTTTATAGACCAAAGGTTTGAAGAAGGCAGAAACAAAAAACAAAAATAGGACTGATCAGTTCAAAGTTACTTTCCATGTAAGGCTGGGATAGGGAGACAGAACAATAGAACAATAACTTATTGGTTAATGTCAAGTTACTTTAGGTCACCTTTCTGCGTAAGTATTAAAGCAGAGAGAGCGTCATTATCTCATTATCGTATCTACTTATCTACTGAAGATTGAAACTGGCCTTTTTGGGAAATTGGCTTTTATCTCTCCTGATTTCTCAAGAGAGGAAGGTCAGAGAACAACTTAGTTTGGTAAAGTGAAAATTTAGAATGGGTCACTCCATTTTGATTATTGTTTTGGTGGGAGCTTAATCCAAAACAATGCCCTCCTGTAATTTTTATTTAACATCATTCATATTGTTGTAACTTCAGTTTAGTTGATGTTGAGCAACCATGCTGGTTGCTGTCCACATTGAATTCAGTTACCATATAAAGTAATTTAAAAAGATTATGCTACGATGCAGCATTGAAATAAAAAGTTATCTCGAATGGCACAAAAAGGGAAAAGTGTGATACATGATAAAAATCTGTATCTAAATGCTGAAAAAGAATTGTTGATATGAATAAAGTAAAAATTACAAGTGATAAAAAACAGTAATTGTTTGCAAAACTGGCTAAAATATAAATAATGAAAAAGAAAAAACTAAAAACAAAAGTGAAACCAAAAAAGCATTGCATTAGAGATGAATTGGCAGCATTTTATCTTTCTCAGACACAGTCAGTTCATCAAAATGATTATGTCCTAGATATGCCAAAATACATCATATCCTGTTTACAGGAAACTTATCAGAAAGAGAAACATACGGAGAGGTTAAAAGTAAAAGACTGAAAAAAGATATACCACGCAAATGCTAATCAAAAGAAAACTGGTATAACTGTATTAATATCATATCAAAATAGATGTTTTATCTAAGAGAATTAGTAGCAATAAAGATAGTTACTTCTTGGCTGGTCCAAGTGCAGTGGTGTTTACAACCAGTTGATCACAACCAATTACAGATTCCTTTGTTCCTTCTCCACTCCCACTATTTCATTTGACTAGCCTTCAAAAAAAAAAGATAGTTACTTCTTAATGATAAAGTGGTCCATCTGGCTTGATGTTACATAAAAACATTACAATTCTAAATTTGGATACACCTCATAATATGACCTGAAAATATATAATGCAAAACCTGACAGAAATACAAAGAGACAAATCCATAGACAAATCTATGTTCACTAATTAATAGAGGGAGCAAACTAAAACAGAGTATAGAATATTCTAATAACATAATTAACCTAACAAATACAAATAGAAAACTGTTCCCCATCCCCCAAACTATACAACACCCAGTCTTTTCAAGTATACATTCAATGTTTACCATAATTTGTCATATACTGGGCAATAAAGCAAACTTTAATAAATTTCAAAAGATGGAAATCATACAGAAAGTGTCCTCTGGTCACAATAAAAATAAGTGAGAAACCAACAACAAAAAGCTAATCAGAAAATTCTCATATGCTTGGAAACTAGGAAATACTGTTCTGAAAAAAAAACTCATGGGGAAA